ATTCCCCAGCACTGTTCCCCACCCCCAATTCCCCAATAAAATCTTTAAAAAAGTAAAATAAATAAATAAATAAATAAAATACAGGAGTAGAAATCATTACCTTTGGTGAATACTTGGATATTCACATATTATGTCTGCCAATGTTTTTAGAGAATCTAAAATTTTAAAGGGATATTAAATTAATTTGCAAATAATGAACATAAAAATCAAATTATATTTGATTACATACAATCCTACATCTTTTGAATGAAATTAAAATAGAGATCATTTCTTATTAGTTTATATAAGTGTAGTTTATATAAGTGTTTATTAGTTTATATAAGTGTTTATATAAATATTAGTTTATATTAGTTTATATAAACTAATATTTCTTATTAGTTTTATATATTAGTTTATATAGTTTATATAGTTTATATAAATATTTCTTATTAAGTTTATACACTTAATTCACTAGCTCTCAATACCTTTAAAAGCTTGAACTTGATTTTTTCCATATGGTGCAGACGAAAAATTGCCACATAGGATAAAGCAGGTTGGAGGTGCTGGTGAATAACCTGAAAATAAGAGAACACATGAATTTAAATGATTTGTAGTTTAGAAATCAGGTTGGCCGGCCCAGTTAGTTAAGAGCGCGAGCTCTGAGCAACAGGGTCGCCGGTTCGATTCCCACATGGGCCAGTGAGCTGCGCCCAAGCTGAGCTGCCCTGAGCTGCCCCTGGGTGGCAGGATGGCTCAGTGGTTAGAGCGTGCACTCTTAGCAACAAGACTGCTGGTTAGAGCGAGTTGCTCTTAGCAACAAGCCCGCATGGGACGGTGGGCTATGCCCACCCGCAACTAAGATTGAACATGGCACCTTGAGCTGAACAGCCCCAAGCTGCCCACGGGTGGCCAGATGGCAACTGGACTTGGAGCTGAGCTAGCTGCGCCCTTCACAACTAAGATTGAAGACCAACAACTTGGCTGTTCCCCTTCCCCAATTCCCCAACACTGTTCCCCTTTCCCAATTCCCCAATAAAATCTTAAAAAAAAAAATCAGGTTGTTAATAATACAAATTTAATATTTTAATAATGTATTACTTAAAAGTAATAGTAATAATAGGTCCATTTACTGAACACTTATTATGTGCCAGGCCCTGTAATGGCTTATTTAATCCTCACAATAATCCTAGAAGCTGAGAGAGATTAAGTAACCTGCTCGAGGTATTAGGATGAAACTTAAGCCCAGTTTTGTCAGCCTCCAAAGCCCAAGCCTTATCCACTTTTATACTCTACTTAGGACTAATTCTTATTTACCATGAAGACACACATACACACACACACACACACACACACACACACACACACACATACCGTTATTTTTCAAATGTAAAAATGTGAATTCTTTAAGATGAACTCATTTAAAAGATCTCATTGATGAATCAATGCTTTTTAAAAAATGGACTACTCAAAAAGATACACTTTTTAAAAGAATTTAGTTTTAAAACATGATCCCTCATAAGAGTTCAAAAAAGAAAAGAAAAAAAAAATGAAACCTACCAGAAAACATGGTGTGAAGTTTTTCCAACACTTCTACTTGGTCTAACCAAACATCAGATATAAACACAAACATGGCATCTTTATTGTCATCTTCTAGTTGTTTAAGTTTTGCAGAAGTCTTCACAGATGTAGTAGAGGGCCCTCCAAAAAAATTAATATTTCCATAGTATGCCCTAGGTGATTATAACATAATTATTATCTTCTATATTCTGTTGGTGATATTTTTCTAATAATTTTATAAATTTAGCTGCTTTCTATCTAAGGAGGTTATTTCCCCATCAATGTAAACAGTACCATGAAAATGTACTATTTGTAGCAAACAAGTTGATTTAAATGTTCTAAAATGAGAAAGGAAGCAATACAGAAGCAGTAAACAAAATCCTTTTTTTTCCAACACTGCTTCACATGCCTTATTTTGTCATACATTCTTCTAGAACCAGGTTCATTTTTCCAGTGTTGTAGAAAAATAGATGTTCAGTATGTTCCCTGGAAAGATGAATAAGTCTCATGACTGACTCATTTTCTTAAAATTCTTCAAGACAAATACTTCTTTTTTTTTTTTTTACTCCCAAAGCACAGTATTTCAACAGCAGTAGCCTACATGCGGTTTTAGCAGCTTAACTTTACCCCCTAAATAAAGCTTTGTATAAACCAGTGATTTTACTACAAAAACACTCTCCTTGAAAGAAAGGAGTGGCAGACATTAATGCAAAACTTGGAACAGTTAAGTCATAAACATGGCACTTACAAAGGGTAGCTATGAGAATATTCCACTTAAGAAGTGGTTGCTTTACTGTCCCTCCTTTATTCCCAAAAGGAAGGAAGGAAGGAAGGAAAGAAGGAAGGAAGGAAGGAAGGAAGGAAGGAAGGAAGGAAGGAAGGAAGGAAACATTTCCTTTAAAAATTCCCCTTAAATGTAAGTTTATAAAATTTCAGAAATGCCTTATACCCAACACAGGTGCTTTTAAATAAAAAGAACCTGTGCTAACAACTCTTACAATTATTTATTGGGAATTGGGGGAGAGAACAGCATTGGGGAACCAGGGAAGGGTAACAGACAAGTTGCTGTCCTTTGGTTCTTCAGTCTAGTGTGGAGGACGTCGCTTCACTGGCCCATGTTGGTATTATGATCATTGCACTCTTCCCCACTGAGGCAGATCAGTCACCAGCCATTGGACAGCTGCTCACGGTGGCTCACGGCAGCTCACACCAGCTGCCGGCTGCTCACGCTGTCTGCCGGCCACTCACAGTAGCTCACGGCAGCCCACTGCAGCCCCACTGCAGCCTACACCATTGCCGGCAACTCTCGGCAGCCCAGCTCCAGGTCGAGCTGTTGTTCACCATCTTAGCTATAGAGGGCACAGAGTCACTGGCCCATCCGAACTGGTGGCCCTGCTGCTCAGAGCTCGCGCTCCCAAGCCAACTCTTAACCAACGAGCCATTCAGCCGGCCCCAGATATATACTTTTTATAACATCTAAGACTGCAAGAGTTCTTAGTTTCAGCAGCTCCCCATCTCCACTTATAAAATGTTTTCTGCCGCTTAAAGGACAAAGATCTCCGAGTTGCTTGGAAATTATTCCAGCCCCAAACATTCTTCTACAAATCACTCAAGCAGAGTATGAATGCGCGACTCCCTGATTAATGTCTGGAATTTCATTATAAATTCTCTCATAACCTCTTTTTATTTGGTCTAGAGTAATGGTAGTAGATTTCCAAAGGGATTTTAATAAATCCAAAATCATCTTAAATGTACTTTCTCCAGTTGACTCCCAAAACCATTACAATGGCTTCGCACACTACTATCTTGTGATAAAAATGAGGTACTTGCAGTTCCTTAAGGCAATGTTCAGCTTCAGATGTCTTCAGGGAGTAAATACTCTTTCAGCAGTATGCCAATCTCTTTAACAAGGTGATAACTGTTTGCCACCCATGTCCAGAGCCCCACAGCTGTCTTTGAGCTTTCCACCGGTAGAAATACTCAGAACACAGCAGGCTTGTCCAGCGCAGCTCTAGCCTGTACACAATCTACAGTTCCTTCATAACTATCAATATAGATCTTACATAAAATTCCACTTCCAACAGCTCTAGCAATAAACTGGCCCACCAACTGTGGGCCCTAGGAGTATCTGATGCTAATTCAGGTAGATCTTTCAATTTATCAAATCATTTCCTTACATCATTTGTGTTCATTACTGTCCCACAAAGGCCAGAAAGAAGCTTAGATGTAATTTCTCTATGACTAGCCTTTCCCTCGCAATGCCAAGGTCACTGCCAGCACTGGTACTTCCCTTTTCATTTCACCAAGGTTTAAATCTCTTAGCATTTCCGCAGCTTCATTAGTGTCTCCCTGCTCCAAATATTCCTGTGTGACTGGTGTTACGGTCTTCTCAAATGCCATTTCATCCAAAGGCAAACCGAGTTTCGTAAACACAGTTCTCCTGGTCATCATCAAAATTAGGATCTTTCACATTCGCCTCGTCCACATCATATACCTGTCCAGGTAGACCCCAGACACGTTCGCCTCCGGCACCACCTTTCTCTGGTAGTGCCCTTCCTTTCCCAGATCTGGACCGTCTATCTAGAAACCCTCCCTTTGGACTGCTTGGTACAGTTACTCCACTTCTAAGTGCTTCACTTCCATTATCACCAACTGAATCGCTTCTTTCAGAGTCTCAGGATGAGTTTTTCCACAGTTGCCTTTTTGCCTTGGCATTAACTCTAGCTTCACTAATGGAGGATGCCGAAATCCATTTTCCATTTATCTTGTTCTTTATATCTTCAGTGGAGCATTTTCTTCATCACCAGAAAAGAGTCACTTAAGTCATCAATACCCGTTCACCTTCCACATCCATTGTTCCTTAATTTCATTGGCACTGATTAAATCACCAAATGGAAGTCTTCCTTTGGGATCTAAGTCCCTGGTCAGTTGGCCTTATCCCATTCCTCAGCCTCTGCCGCCACCTGGGAGCGAATCTGGCCAATAAAATTCTTAATAGGCTATATCTGTGCCTTTTAAAATTGACTAAAGCAAATATTAAAATAAATCATAACTTCCTATGTAGTTGAAAGTAAGAAAAATGCATACTGAATTTGAACATCTAATAAAAGTGCACACAAAAAAAGTGCTAACCATTTTACCAAACAATTCTACTTCTAGAAATTTGTTTTAAGGAATTAAGGATGTCTCCAAAGGCTAACCTACATCGCAGAACTGTGAAAATCTGGAGGTGTGGAGGACCAGCCCTTAGGGTACAGGGCTCAGCACATTGTGAGCACTCAGACATGGTAGTTGCTATTGCTGCCACCAACTGAGCTTGGCATTGTCGAAGGCATGACCTTACAGCTATCATCTTGCAGTTACCAGAGAAATGCAGTAGGTTGATATAATTGTATGGTGACTTCAATTAAGTATATACCAAGCAAAAACCCCGAGCATTAAGCTGATTCTCAAGAAATTAAAGCTCAGAAAAGCCTTACTAACATCTCTGTCCATGGTTCAAGGAATATAAGAGGCAAATACAGGAGAAGAGGAAGGCCTGACAATACCTATTTTCCTAAGCTGTCAAATTTGGAAATAGAGACATATTCTAGGAACTCTAACACCATCTTGGAGTCAGAAAACATAAGTCACATTCCCTGTACTAGTGAGAGACTGGGCGAATGGCAATGAAGTTCCAGCAAATCTGTATCCTAAAAAAATTATATGATAAACTGCAATGGTGGGAAGGCATCAGGTCAGTGTGAATCCTTTTGGGACTGGGCTATCATGTACACTTACTTGTATCCCTAACACAGTCGTTTACACATAAAAGGTACTCAATGTACTCAATAAAATGTGTTGTTGAATCCACTGACCACCAGAAAACAGCCCTCTGAATTCTATTTGGAAGGTATTCTAAGAGAAAAGTAATTTATAATCCTACCAAGGATAAAATGATTATTTTATTTTAATGTATTTCATGACACCTCATACCAGCCTTGGTGTACTAAACATACACAAAACAGTTCAATTTAAAGAAAATGGGGTAATTTCAATGGGAAATTATTTGAGACATTACAATGATGATCTCTTAGCTAAACTGAAACAAATGGTAATATTCATGGCCAGCCTTCTCAATTATGCCTCTCCTTCCCAAGTAGTAATTTTGAAGCTTGCATGAAACTGAAATACCAAGACAACAGCAATTTTGCTTTAAATATATTTCAAAGAAATCCTACCATATTGTAAAAAGCCACAAACTAGCATTAAAAACACTCACTTAAAAGTGAGCTGGGGGCAGGTCAAGTGGCACATTGGTTAAAAGTTGGTTTGGGACACCAATTCTGGGCAGCAGGGCCCCGGTTCGGATCCCACATTAGGGCCTGTGACGCTGCGCCCTCTACAGCTAAGATGGTGAACAACAGCTCGACCTGGAGCTGGGCTGCCGTGAGTCGCTGGCGAAGATGTAGGCTGCAGTGGAGCTGCAATGGGCTGCTGTAAAGCTACCGTGAGTGGCTGGCAGCCAGCGTGAGCTGCCAAGAGCCACCGTGAGCGGCTGTCCAGAGGCCGGCGACCGATCTGCCTCACCCGGGAAGAGCGCAATGATAATACCAACATGGGCCAGTGAAG